AGAAAAGTAAATACCCTTCACTGTCCAGCACATCCTTAATACTGGCCTTGGTGATGACAGCATCATCACATTTGAACCACTGGTCCTTGTGGTGCCGGATGAAGCTGGTATAGTGGCCACTCTCCAAGGTTCCTTGGTGATTGACCACAGCAAACAAGGAATACTTATTCTCGTTGTTTCCACTATTGGTTGGCAGCTGCAACTGTCCATTCATTCTGTTCTCTTTACTTGAGGCCATAAATGGTGTCATATCCAGCTCCAGAGGAAAGGAAATGTATGTAGTGATCTTGCGCCTCTGTTTGGCTGAGTGTTCAAACCGTTTGAAATGAAAACAGGCAACAACAGGTAATTTATTCATTGTAAGCTGTTTGGTAGATTCCTGGTAGCTTTGGCAACTACCACACTTGATTTTGGCACTGCTTCCTAAGTGTTCTGGCCTTGTAAACCTTCGCAGGCAGTCCATGAGTGTAGTGATTCCTGGTATGTGGCTTTCCCCATTCACACTGCTCTCCCTCCCTGGACTCATGGGCCAGAAGGAGGTGCAAGAGCCAGGCAAGTCCAAACTGATGTCCCAACATGGGTCTATTGTGGTAGAGACGCCATGGCAGGCTTGACAAGTAACATCAGACTGCAGGCCACCTGTGAAGATTTGGTCTATGATGCAGTTACAGTGGTTGGGATTGTTGGCTGCCTTCCCAACATCATCACCTTTGCAATGCCTGTGCAGCACATCTAATGCTGCGATGAGGAACTCATGGGCATCCTGTTGCCTGTACCCTGCTAAATGGCGTGCATGTATCCATACCAGGTGCAGTAACTTATAGGGAACATGAGGAGATGGGTTTCCAGAATACAACTCTCGAAAAAGAGAAGACATCTCACAAACTAGACACAACTCAGGACTTGGCATTTCACATCTGTGCCTGTCAGAGAGAAAGAAATCTCTCAGGATTGGAGTGTGGGTGAGTGCCTGGACAATGCAGTTCATAAAGCACGTGTTGCCAAGATTGATAAGTCCTCTTAAACCGATGGTAAAGCTTGAGGTGATCCTCCTTCTCCGTGGATTGTGTCCCAGCAGTTCTAACTCTGGTTTGGTTGTTTCCCAGGTCGGATATTTCTCACCAAGGCCTGGTTTTGAACACTGCTGGTGAGAAACCTCTGTTGAAGTGGAAGCTTGTAATTTTAAAGCTTCCCCTTGCTCTTCTTTGGCAATTTGCTCAATGTCTTTGTCATATATATAATCCTTACACATAAAGCAATATATACCTCCATAATAAAGGTCTACGGCTAAATTGTGTTGTTTTGTCTCAGCGTGCTCGTGAATGTGTTTCTCGGTAAAGCAGCCAAAGAAGACACAGGAAAGGCAAGAGTGGAGTCTGTTCAAATGAGTGCCACACACATGGCAGATGCACGACTTTGCCTTGCTTTTCCTGGTCTCTGGGGTTCCACACCACACGAAGCACTGGTAGATCAACCGCAGTTCCTGCCTCCAGTTCTCTCCCACCTTAAAGCTATTCACGTGGGAACAGCCTGGTGGACCCACGGCAAAATCCACATCCAGGCATCCGCCCCCAGGGCCGCGCCGGGGCCGGGGCCGTGGTGGGGGCCGTGGCCTAGGCTGCGGCGGGGTACGAAGCCGGGTCTGAGGCCGGGGTCGGGGTCGGCGGCGGGGAGCACGACTGCGACGCGCGGAGGGATCGGGGGGCCGCGGTGGGTCGGAAGGGAGGGTGGGGGGAGGAACCTCGTCGCTGCTGCCGCCACCGCCGCTCCGCGCTGGGTTCTCATCCTCCAGCTCCTGCTTCCCTTTCGGCTCGTGCTCCGCCTCCCGGACCGGCTCGGTTGCTGGCTCCAGCTTGAGCTCAACCCGGCGGCCCGGACCCTCCGCTGTCTCCACCTTCCCGGCGGCGTCCACCTTCCCCGCCGCCTCCACCTTCCCGGCGGCGTCCACCTTCCCCGCGGCGTCCACCTTCCCAGCGGCGTCCACCTTCCCCGCCTCCACCTTCCCCTCCACCTTTGCCTCCGCCTCCACCTTCCTTTCTGCCGTCTCCGCCGTCTCCGCCTCCTCTACCTCCTCCGCCTCTACTGGCGGCGGCTCCTCCCCCTGCTCGCAGGGCTCAGGCGGCCACTGGGCGTGGCGGCGCGGGGGCCACGCAGACTTGGGGTGTCCCCCGCCCGGCCTGAGGGAGCGAGGTAGCGGTGGCAGCTGGACCCAAAAGGGACTTTCACTGAAGGAGGCGGCGGAAGCAGGCGACGCCCCCGGGAATCCTCCCGCCGTAGCCCCCTAGCGGAGGCCGCTTCTGTAGCCAGGCCCCGTTTCCTTTAATTCAGTATTTCCCAAACTTGCTTGTTCACGAGAATCACGTGGGGGAACATGTTAAAATCACCGATTCGTAGGCTTCACCAGTAGACCTACTGAATCAGAATCTCCAAGGGAGATACTCCGGAACCTGCATCTTTAACTAGCGCCTGAGAGGATTCTTATGATCAGGCAAGTTTGGGAAACACAGCTCTAATTCATTGAGGCTGGCGGGAAGGGGGGCGGGGACCGCGCAGTCTCTTTAAGGCGCTTCCAGTTCTCCGCTCCAATCGCTGCTCTGATCCCCTTCATCGTCTCCTCCCCTCTTCTAGTCCTTCCCTTCATCCATGCAGTCTTCCCCCAGCGTTGCAGGGCTGGGAACTGTGCTGTTGCCAAGTCTGGAAATGTTTCTGGGTGGTGAAATGTCACCTCGGAGGCTGGGCTCTGAGGAGCACAGTTAGGAGCTGTGATAGGCCATCATTTCCGCGGCGGAACCTGCCCCCAGCACTGTTCCAGTCAGCCCTCCCACCCCAAACTCTGCCCTTCTCCATGAGGATGGAGCTCCAGCTCTGCTAGGAGGCACGCCAGAACTCCAGATCCGGAGAGACAGAGCTCCCAAGGCTGCTGGGACTGCACAGGCATGTCCCTTTACCCATTTTATGGGTGCTCTGCAGAGTCTGTGCCTGCTCCTCACCTCCTCCTCCTCGGGCTCCCAAGGCCACGGGTGGGTTGAAGCTTTGGCAGCCAGTATTCTTGCCCTGCAATGCTGCAGAGCAGCCTGGGGAGGGTGGGGTAGAATCCAGCTCTTGTCTCCAAGGCCTACGGGAGGGGCAAGGCACACTAAGGCCATCCCTACAGCTGGTACTTCTCCTAAGGCTGAGAGCGACCCACACTCAAAGACACGGTCTCAAGACCCTGAAACCCTAACAGAATCCCGGGATTGGGCAGCAGGTGGGAGTGTAAGGGCAGCAAATTTGGTCTCCTGAGCTGCCAGTGTGAGGTGGGGCTAGGTCTGAGCGACTTCTTGGAAATCCTGTGGTGAGAGGCTGGGGACATTAGGTAGCAGCACCATGGGGCCCACGAGGAGACATCCTAGAACAAGTGGCTCAGGTCTTGGCATGGCTGGGGGATGTTGAAAACTGCAGGTACTGGCCCCAAGGGGTGCAGCCCAGGGAAGGTGTCTGGATGTAAGTCCAGGGAAAAATAGATAACTAGTGTTTGAGGGGGAACTCTGGTGGTGTAGTGCCTAAGGCATTTGACTGCTAACCAGAAGGCTAGCGGTTCAAACTCACCAGCCACTCCTCAGAAGGAAGATTGGGCAATCTACTTCTGTAGTGATATAGCCTCGGAAACTCAAGGAGGGCTTGCTGAGTCGGACCGACTCGATGGCAGTGAGTTTGGTTTTTTGGTTAGTGCTTGAGGATCAGGGAGTATGTTCTAGAGACAGTCCAGTACCATAAATCCTGGTGTTGGCCAGCATTGGCCTAGTACACGCTGCCCAGTTTGATTGTTACCAAAGCATAGTTCTCCTTATCTAGCATGGGACATCACCCTCCCTTCACCTAGCCCCTAGGTAAGTAGGGGCCCAAGCAGCAGGACTTGGTTGCCAGGAAGCAAGAGCCCTTAAGGAAGATGACTGGGTCCCATCAGGCAGTCTCTGTGCTGGTTCTTCCAGGGTGCAGTGAGGGTTGCTATTCCTTAGGTGAAGTAGACAGTGGGTGCTGTATCAACCATGCTCTGGAGCTTTGCTCTGCAAATGGTGACAGGAAGGTTAGAACCACTGAAGCTGAGGTCTCAAGAGCTTTTCTGGTGCCCGCTCTTCCCAAATCACCTACTTCAATTCCTTGAAGCACCCCAGTACCCTTCCAATATGTTCTTGCTCTCTGTAGCCTGGAAACAGAGGACTCGAAACTAGCACACCCACCGAAGGAATCCTACTGCTGCAACAAGTGACTGAGGTCATAGAGCGTGTTTGCAGTGGTGAGCAGGAGGAACTCTCCTCCTACCTCCACAGAGTAGCAGACATCAGAGATACCTAAAGATCTCTGTGTATCTGGGACTGTCTACCATGGAATATGAACAGTGGTAACCTGGCTGCTTCATAAATCAGCTTCCTGCAGAAGTCCACAGATCCACATGGACTCTGCCCAGGCCAGCATGTTCTGGAAATAAATGGAGGGCTCTGCCACCATTCACTCAACAAATGACAATTTGACATCAATTGAAAACCAGATGCTATGCTGGGAGCTGTGGACATAACATTGAACCAGAGGTGCTCTACAACCTAACCCCAGGGCCAAAATCAGTGCCATATTCCCCAGAAGGCAGACTAAGGAAGTGTCTAGGTCAGCAGCAGGGAACTAAACCAAACCCAACCTATTGCCATTGGGTCTATTCCAACTCATGGCAGTCCCATGTGCAAGGGGTACCTAAACCAAAAAGCCAAGAAAAAAAAATATGGAAAGCAGTTTGATACTTTAGTTTTTGAAGTAGTCTTCATGGGATACATCAGATTTGTTGTAGTCCTTACTCCTTGATTTTATGTTGCTTTTATTTTGAATCACATATGGAGTATTCCATCATAATATTTTTGGTGCTTAGTTCTTTTATTACCCTATTCATAACCAATTCATAACCAAGTTCTGCTTTGATAATTGAAAGTTGTATCTTTTTCCTTTTCTCCCTTAATTCTTAGTTCCATTCTATTCCCCCAACAGAATTTTATTCTAATAATACATTTTTTTTGAAATTGAAATTATTTTATTGATTACCCTATCATATTTCTCTATGGCAAAAATATGTATATGTTTTGCAATTTAAATGTTTTAAATATTCCTGTGACCATAAGTATTGCTTAAAACTTTATTGCTTAAAAAAATTCCTGGGAAGAATTTAACCTTCTCTTCCCCACAGAAAGGAGGTCTAGTGGTGCAGTGGTTAGGGCATTCAGCAGCTAAGCAAAAGGTCAGTGGTTTGAACCCACCAGCCACTTAGTAGGAGAAAGATGAGGTAGTCTGCTTCCTTAAAGATTTACACCCTTGGAAATCCTATACTACTCTGTCCTGTACGGTTGCTATGAGTTGGAATGGACTCAATGGCAATGGATTTGCCCCTAAAGAGGCCTGATGGAACGCTAGCAAAAGGAGCTGACCTAAGGAGACAACTCCTATTTGCAGTTGATGAGCCTTGGTGACAAATACAACTCTAACCACAAGGTGGCAAAAGAGTATGTGACGATTCCATATGTTCATGTATGGAATCATATATTTTGTATGCTTACATAAAACTACTGGTTTATATCAAAATACCCTGAAAATATTTTTTAAAACGTTGTGCACCTTCATATATTTTTTGAGTGACATCTAAAATTTTACATCATCACTGTCAATAGATGCAAATAATGTCGTTTCTGACAAATATTAGCATTTCAAAAAAAAAAAGCTGTTGTATCATGGTTTTACATGAATTCAGTGAAACCTAAATACCATAGTGATTTGACACCTCCTCTCATCTGTGTTAAAAATTCATAACCAAGTTCTGCTTTGGTAATTGGAAGTTGTATATTTTTCCTTTTCTCCCTGAATTCTTGGTTCCATTCTATTCCCCCAACAGAACTTTATTCTAATAATACATTCTTTGGAAATTGAAACTATTTTATTGATTACGCTATCACATTTCTCTACAGCAAAGCTACGTATATGTTTTGCAGTTTAAATGTTTTAAATATTCTTGTGACCATAAGTATTGCTTAAAAACTTTATTCTTGCTTGAGTTACCATGACAATTAATATTAAAATGTGATGGATCAAACATTGTACATATATTGCAAATTATTACATAATTATTCAATGTAAAAACAGATTCATTACATATTCATCTCTTGATGAGATAGGACTTTTTTTTAGTCAGTGGGTGTATCCATGGATAATATTACTTATTGCTAGAATGAGACAGAAAGACAGAATTCAGCATCAATTCTCTTTTTACTTTTTGTTTGGCTAGATATTAGCACACAAATGGTTTGCCCTCCACTGCTAACCTAAAGGCTGCTGGTTCGAACCCAGCCAGTGGTATCACAGAAGCTAGGCCTGGGGATCTGCTTCCGTTAGGATTACAGCCAAGAAAACCCTATGGAGCAGTTCTACTCTGTATATATAAATAAGTAAATGGTAATAGATATCTTGTCTTAACAATGTCACTCAATTCTTTTGAGTTCCTTGGGAGATACATGGAAAAAAATTTCAGAATGATTTATCATCAGAATTATTTTTCATAAATTTATTAGCTGACAATTCCTTGGGTTCTCCTTCAGTTTTATTGGAAGTAAAAAATTGATTTGATCCCCACTCATTAGTTAGTTGTTCTTAGTTGCTATTGACTTTTTTCTGACTCATGGAGATCCCATGTGTTACAGAGTAGAACTGCTCCATAGGGTTTTCTTGGCTGTAATCCTAACGGAAGCAGATCCCCAGGCCTAGCTTCTGTGATACCACTGGCTGGGTTCGAACCAGCAGCCTTTAGGTTAGCAGTGGAGGGCAAACCATTTGTGCTACCTAGCAACTTACTCATTAGTTAGAGCAATTTGGTTTTCCACCATTGACAGTAGTATTTGAAATTGTTTCTTGGGCACACTGTAGATTATATACCCTGGGGCAATGCACCCAGGTAAAATTTAGCGTAGGTAAAAGATAAAGTTTCCTTTTTTTTTTTTTTTAGTGCAAAAAGAATCATTGTGAAATAGGAGATGCATAAAGATAGCCAGCATGACTCTGCAGCAAGTGTGTTCTCTTGCCGATCAATTTTAGGAAAGAATACATAACTAATTTGAAGATACAGAGATTGAGTCTGTTAAAACTCTAAGTGCTTCTTTAACCATTATATTATGTAAGATAGTATTGTTGTATAGCTGTGTAGCAAATTGAGATATGCTGTAGGTATAAAATAATAGATTCCAAAGACTTAGTAGGAGAAAAAGAATGAAAAATAATTTTTATATTAATTACATGTTACAATGATGATATTTTGGATGTTAAAATATATAGTTTTTAAAATAATTATAAAAAAACAACTCTAAGTACATATTTACTGTGTGGAATATTTTCTTATGCCACCTAGCGTAATGCACACTCCATTTTGAAGGTTGATGGCTTATATTTATTATTTTTTTATATAATTTATTTTTTGTTGAAAATATGCACAGCAGAGCATACACCAATTCAACAGTTTCTACATGTATAATTCAGTGACACTGATTACGTTCTCCTAGTTGTGCAATCATTCTCGCCTTCCTTTTTTGAATTGTTCCTTTCCCA